CCAGCTGGTGGTCGGCCTGCTCCGTCTCTGCCGCTTGCCAGCTACGCCTCGGCCGGCGCAGGGGGCGGAACCACGCATGCGCGGCGCTCCCGGGCAGGGAAAGTCCTCGACTTACGACCGGTTGGGTAGTCCTCGACTTATGACCGGTTTAGTCCTCGACTTACGACCGGTTTAGTCCTCGACTTACGACCGGTTGGGGGTCGCGGCATTAAAAAGGTTGAGAACCACTGATCTAGAGAAATCTTTGCATTAATTTATACCTCCTTGGTCCCAAAAAGGCAGAATCTTACATCATAATGATTGGGGGTTTACTCCCAGATATTAGCTGCATGATCTTGGGATCAGAGGGACTCCAGGATTGGAAAGGCAAGACTAAGATCAACTCTGAGTTGATCACCTCTAAGTTACTGTAAGTTACCTGTATCTGCTACTACCATTCGTGGATCTCATTCATAGAAAGCATGCCCTCTGCTGCGAAAAAGCATTAGGAACTCGGTGGAGATCGGAGGTTCCCAGGGTCAGCAGTCTTCAGCTCTCCCTCTGCATGATGGCTGGGGCTGAGGGGTACAAGAGTCCGTGTATCTGGAGAGTATCATGTTTGAGGGATGCATGGATTGCAGCTTGCCTCCTCATGAGCTGAGTGGGCCTTTCATTTCAGCCGCTGGCCGCCCTGTGGTTCTGCTCCTGTTCAACGCTGGCCCGCTGGATATAAGCTGGGCCAAGGAAGAGGATGCCGTGGGGGCAATCGTGGCTTGTTTCTTTCCCGCTGAGAGCACAGGGCTGGCTGTGGCCAAGATGCTGGTGGGCGCTGAAGGGGCAAATCCCGCTGGCAGGTTGCCTGCTACGTGGCCAGCAGGAATGCACCAGGTATGGCTGGGGTGGATAACGGTGGCTCTTTCCGGGACTGTAGCACCTGAAAGGGAAGAATAGCTGAATCTTCCCACCCTTAAGAAAGAAAGAAAAAAACCTTACAGGTAGTCCTCAATCTCAGTTGCGGTCATCAAGCGAGTCCTCACTGCATCCAATTTTACCACCATTTTTGCCAGAGCCGTTAAGCAAATCCAGGTTCCCCCCATTGACTTTGCTTGTCGGAAGCTGGCTGGGAAGGTTGCAAAGGGCGAGTAAGTAACTCCGGGATGCTGCAACTGTCATAAATACATGTCGGTTGCCAAGCGCATAAAATTGCAATCGCAGGGCGCGATGGTGTAAATGCAATGATTAGTCGTAAGTCACTTTTTTCAGGGTGGTCGTAAGTTCAGATGGTTGCTAAACAAATGGTCATAGATCAAGGACCATCTCAATAGCTTAATTTTATACAGAAAAGTGCTTGATGGTACATAAGCAAAAAGTATTTTATTTGACTTTATTTTATTAATTATTTTATTTTTATTTTATTAATTATTTTATTTTATTATTTTTATTTTATTAAATATTTTATTTTATTATTTTTATTTTATTTTATTATTTTTATTTTATTTTGTTAATTATTTTATTTTATTATTTTTATTTTATTAAATATTTTATTTTATTATTTTTATTTTATTTTATTATTTTTATTTTATTTTGTTAATTATTTTATTTTATTATTTTTATTTTATTTTATTATTTTTATTTTATTTTATTTATTTTCACTGATGTGCCACTCCATTCATAAGCCTCTAGACATCTCCCTACTGGCAATCAACACAGTATTATTTTTATTTTATTTTATTAATTATTTTATTTTATTATTTTTATTTTATTTTATTATTTTTATTTTATTTTATTTTATTAATTATTTTATTTTATTATTTTTATTTTATTAATTATTTTATTTTTATTTTTATTTTATTTATTTTCACTGATGTGCCACTGCATTTATAAGCCTCTAGACATCTCCTTACTGGAAATCAACACAGTAAAAATCAGAAAAACAACCTGCATATAAGAAATAAAAGACCCACCATAAGACAATACAAATGTAATGTCTAAATAGAGCAGCCACTGCACCCAGGTCTATTAGACAGTGAACCTGAGAGAGAAGTCATAGGGCCATTCTCAAAAGTCTCCAAAATGTTCCAGGAACCCCCCAGTCCAAGTGTAATCTGCTGGGCTTTTTCAAGATGGACAAAACTGAAACAGATCCCTTGATCACTTTGGCTGATCTCAAAAGAGCATAGCAGGTTCAGATGAAATTACCGTTGAAATGGGAGATTAGCAAAGAGTTGCAGGCTAAACTGGGAACTCATACATCATCTTGAAAGAAGGCAGAAACAAAAAAGTACATTTCTCTATTGTTGCCAGGGAAACCACCCCGATGACTCTATGAAGTTCTTCAGAATTGGATCTGACTTTTCTAAATATAGGCCAGAAAATACATCATATAAGATTAAAGTCCGGTGTGCTATTCAGCCGTGTCCTTTTCCCAGATCCAGATTCTGTTGCAGTCTTTCCTTTGAAGCATGTCAGATTCCACAAAGGCCGCTGGCAATTTTAATTAAAACTTTATGCTGATTCAACCCATTGAATTAGTTTTTTTGTGGGTCTCCAATGGGGGATTAGCCACAGTCCATTAACCGCCCTTGAATAGAAAGGACTGTTTTTAAAATACACAGCAAAATAATGCTGCGACACCATTTAAAATAAAAGCAAGGAAAAACAAATCGGTAATTAAACCTTAGCTACAGAGAAATAAGATGACATTGGGACAATGTAGAGCGCTTACTCAAAGGTGGTTAACCGATAAAGGCTGGGGGGGGGACAGTCCCTCACATCGCTCCTAGATCCTGCTTGCTGTAGCCCCAAATTTCCCAAAGGTGCTTTTTCAAAGTCAACTGGACCTTGTTTTTCCTTGAAGCTTCCTTCCGTTCTCCACCATTCAGTCAGAAATGAAGAAGTTTCTTTTTTTTAAAAAGTTTTTTATTTATAATACAGTTTAAAAAAAAAGAAAAGATTGGACATGACGTAACATTCCAGTATAAACATTTCCAACAAATTGTTTCTCTTCTTACGTTTAGTTCTTTATCTCTATAAGTACATATGTATTTTTTATACAATACCTAATTCATTTCTCTATTTACTAACCTAAGATTATACACATTTCCATCTTAACGCTAATCTATAACCCTAACCATCGTCCTCGGTTCCCACCAATAGTAAAATTTGTCCCAGATTTCAAAGTCCACTCTTGTCCTTCACTTCCATCGTGAGCCTGTCCATTTCAGCGCACGATAGTATCTTATATAGTATCTCTTCCTCTGTGGGAGTTTCTTTGTTCTTCCATTTTTGTGCAAACGCCAGTCTAGCAGCAGTCAAGATGTGCAACATCAAGTAGACTATCCCTTTGTCATATTTCTCTATGGTTATGCCCAATAAAAAAAGTTCTGGTTTTAGCTCTATCTCCAACATTAATATTTCTAGAAATGAAGAAGTTTCTTGAGTGGGAAACAAAACATCTTCAAGGAAAAACGAAGTCCAGTTGCCTTTGAAAACAAC